ACAGAATCTGAAACAGGCTCCAGGCTCTGAGCCATCAGCCCAGAGCCCGACACGAGGCTCGAACTCACGGACCGCGAGATCATGACCTGGCTGAAGTCAGACGCCCAACCGACTGCGCCACCCAGGCGCCCCGAGACTCTTAATTAAGGTTACTGTATTAAAAAAAATATATACTGGTTTTTAATTTTAATATAGTGTTATTTATTACTATAAACTTAAATCTTTATTGTGTGAATTTTATGACATGTATGACTATAAATGCTTCAGTAGCTGAACGGCATATTTTTCCCCCTCAGTGGAACAAAGCTGTTGAGTTGGCTAAAAATCACAGTATGAAAGAAATTGGATCCCTGTTAGCGAGGTATGCATCTCATTTATTGGAAAAGAATAAAACTCTTGATGCCATAGAACTCTATCGGAAAGCCAATTACTTTTATGATGCTGCTAAACTGATGTTTAAGGTAATACAATAATCTTGGTGAGTATTTGCTATGTTCTAGTTACCAATGTTTTCTTATGTACTGAAGAACACATTTTCCATTTTCTTTGAGAACAAGTACTTGCTATAGCAAAAGCCCTCTTGTTTTATTTCTGCTATAACTATGCATTATCTTAGTATTATTACCTTTTACTAAAAAAGCTATTCATTAGTGTTAGCACCTTACTGATCCCTAAACAATTGAATATTTACTTAATACTGAAGTTAACAAAGAGTTATAGAATTTTCAGGGACCATAAAATACAAATTCCCTTAATAATGGGAATTAAATCCTGTTGATAATAGAATTTTGTCCTTTTAAATGTACACATTTTAAGGGGCATCTGGGTGGCTTAGTTAAGTGTCTGACTCTTGGTTTTGGTTCAGGTCATGATCTTGTGTTTCGTGAGTTCAGGCCCCACGTGGAGCTCTTGCGCTGACAGAGCAGAGCCTGCTTAGGATTCTGTCTCCCTAGCTCTCTCTCTCTGCCCCTCCCTCACATATGCATGTGTGCACGCGAGTTCTCTCTCCTTCTCTCTCAAAATGAATTAAAAAACTTAAAAAAATAAATGTACACATTTTAAATACATTACTGTTTCATAATATGCATTTGGAAGGAAAAGGACTAATACAGTATTAATGTATATACATTTTATATTCTGTTCTATTTTTTTCCCGTTGATTTAATAAAAAAGGGAATATCCCCCTCAATCATTTAGATAAATCCTTCTTTCTGAAGTCTGTACCATGTTAAAGTCCTCTTATCTCAGTATACTTGGAACACTGTTTTTAAAATCTCCTTATGGAAAATGCTACCTCTTCCACGAAAACTTTCTGCATTTTGACTTACTTATTTAAGAGCATTTGTTATGAGTTGTAACTCCAAGGGCTAATGCCAAGGAAAGAACTGAGTACTTATAAGCTAAGGAAAAGGAAATGGGCTTAAAAATATTTATCATAAATGGGTGGTATTTATGTTCCATCCTACTGGTTTTTTCTTTTTATTAAGGAATCAAATTTTAGAGATGATTGTATGTGTACAAATAAAGATTAAGAAATATCTTCCCCAAGTTCTTTAAATGTTTAAAGATTGCAGATGAAGAGGCAAAGAAAAGAACCAAACCTTTACGTGTCAAGAAGCTGTACGTACTGTCCGCTTTGCTTATTGAGCAGTACCATGAGCAAGTGAGAAATGCCCAGAGAGGAAAAGTGAAAGGAAAGAGCTCAGAGGTAAGGTGGAACATTACAGAACATGAAGTCATCTGAGGTGTTTAAGGAAAAAAGACTATCAAACTTCTCTTTAGGGACAGGCCATTTAATTTGTTTGTCTGCATTTATTTTCTTAAATGATATGAGGAAAAGGAGTGACTGACTTGGAATTAGTACTCAAATTTAGAAATTTCTGCTGAGGAATATTGGAAACTTTTCCTGCAAGACTAATTTGTAGACTTTGCTTTAATTTTTTTTACTTGGTAAACCCTTTCTAACCAGTGAGTTTTAAAAACCTTGCTAGAATATGTATATTACTTTATGTGTAAATGAATCTCTTACTAACTTAAAGTTTATAATGAGTTCTATTAAAAAATTTGACCACACCATGGGGAGAATTGTTTCACAGTGTGTATGTTTGTCAGATCACATCAAGGTGCACTTGAAATAATTTGCAGCTTTATTGGTCAATTATAGTTTAATAAAGCTGAAAGAAATTTTTGATTACAGCAGCTTAACAAAATACGAATTCTAATGGAGAAATGAAGTCTGTAATGACAGTTTTGTAATGATAAAATCTACTTTCCTTAGTTTAATGTATAAACCGTCTCAGAAGTTGTCTTCGTTAGGGTGACTCATAGTTGCACTGACAGAAAACGTGGCTCTGCTTGACTCATAGGCCACATCTGCTTTGGCTGGTTTGCTGGAAGAGGAAGTTCTGTCTACAACTAGTCGCTTCACAGATAATGCTTGGAGAGGGGCTGAGGCTTACCACTTCTTCACACTTGCCCAGAGGCAGCTCTATGAGGGATATGTTGACACTGCATTGAAGACAGGTGGGCCTTTGACCCAACGGGTACAATGTGTTTAAATTGAATGTGAAGAGCCAGCTCCTTCAGATTGCCCATATATTAACTTCAGTAACACTTTTATTCATGGGTTTATTTTCATGTTTGAGATTTGCTGTCTATAGTCTATTTTGCACATTCTCCTTTGTTTTGAAGTTCTTTTGATTTTTTTAAATACATACGGTTCACATTAAAGTCAGAGGTTTGAGATAAGCAAAAAGAATGTCTATAGCATTCACTATTCTTTTCATTAAAAGTTAAAGTTTTGAATATATAAAAAAGTTTGTGTTTTTTATAATATCAGGAGGATAACATATGTCCTTTTTAAAAAACATAATATGTTGTAAAATATTTCCATAATAATAGATTTCTATAGTATTTAACTTGTTTTTTTGTTAAAATGACACTGTAAAAAATAAAATGTCACTTCTGTAATGATTATAGTCAAAACAGAAAAAAATAAAATAACCTAATAACTTGTAAAATAATCTTATAACTCAGAAGTAATTATTACTGACATTTGGGCGAACTTCATTTTATTTATTTATTTATTTATTTATTTATTTATTTTTTATTTTTTTTTTTTTCAACGTTTATTTATTTTTGGGACAGAGAGAGACAGAGCATGAACGGGGGAGGGGCAGAGAGAGAGGGAGACACAGAATCGGAAACAGGCTCCAGGCTCCGAGCCATCAGCCCAGAGCCCGACGTGGGGCTCGAACCCACGGACCGCGAGATAGTGACCTGGCTGAAGTCGGACGCCTAACCGACGGCGCCACCCAGGCGCCCTGTGAACTTCATTTTAGACATTTCTCCATGCCTATAAAATTGTGGACAGTTTTCCTTAAGCTAATATCATACAATATATGTTGTTCAGGGGCTTGCTTGCTTTATGCCCTCCGTTGTATATTGCAGTCATGTTTCCATGTTGGTAAACATAGATCCATGTTATCACTTGTATTAGCAAGGGGACTGTAACAGTTTTTTTTCTAATTGGTTGTTATACGTAAGAATTATTTTTATTTTTACATGTTTACAACTGACCTTTATTTAATTTTAACTGATTAATATGTGGTATAAATTATGCAGTTAGGTTTAAGATAGTTCTATTTCATATAACTTATACACAGTTTCTAAACATGAAAGATAAATTAGAATTTTAACTTGAGAGTTTTCATCTACTGGGTGAAGAAATCCAATATACAATCTATTAATTCTACAGTACATTTTAAAGAAAGATTATATCTCTAGTATAGAAAAAGTAAAAATAAGATATGGCAGCTATCAAAATAAATGTCTGAACTGACAACTTAAGAGGCACATTGTCACTTCTCTTTTCTCAAAGTTCTGTTTCATTCAGTAAGACAAAAAAATCTCTTCAAAGAGATGCAAAGAAAAAACATGATTTCATACTGCTTTGCTTTTTTATCAAAAAGAAACCTGATGTTATTTTGAGTATTATGACTAACTGTATAATATTAATTTACTTTTTTCTGGAATGCCACAGAAATTCTAATATATTAACATGAAACAAAAGATGTGGGTTTTGATACCAATTTTTATTTTTATTTTGTCTTTGTGTGTGTTTCTGAATGGCAGAGCGTGCACATCATTTGATGGTGGTTGTTTTGTAGGACCTGAGCTGTTAGCTAGCGTTATAGAACTGGGAACTCACGTAACCTGCTTCCTTCTACCAGTGCTTCGATCTCCCACCGTTATTTTAAGTTTGTAAGAGTTCATGTAGGTTAAACTAAAGCAGCTTAACATAGACTCTTTTCCATGCACGATCATACTAATGATTTCTTTTCAAAATCTAAGTTGTCCTCTTTTCTCTAGCTCTTCACCTGAGAGACTATGAAGACATCATCCCTGCCGTCGAGATCTACTCTCTGTTAGCACTCTGTGCGTGTGCCGGTAGAGCTTTTGGTACTTGTTCAAAAGCTTTTATTAAACTTGAATCTTTAGAGACCCTCAGTTCAGAGCAGAAACAGCAATATGAAGATCTTGCTTTGGAAATCTTCACCAAACATACTCCAAAAGATAATAGAAAATCTGAATTGGACAGCCTTCTTGAAGGGTAGGCTAATTGTCATTAGGATATGTTATACACCCTATTAGAAGCTGAGATTTCTAGAAGTGTAGTAGTGTGATATAATAATTTAAGCACTAAATTTTGAAGTAATTTACCTTAATATTACAACCTATTTTATTTAGTCTTGTGAGTATATTAATGCTTTATTTTCTTATTTAAGAAAAGTTTTTAATCGAAAGTTGCCTTGAGATGTTTTTCATTCCTTAATTTTTTAATTGTGATAAGTAGTTTAAGTAATTAGAAGTTTTAAAGTATAATTAATTGTTTTTCCTCTTGTTTTTACAGAGGGGAAGGGAAATTGCCAACATGTGTTGCCACAGGAAGCCCAATCACAGAATATCAGTTCTGGGTGTGCAATGTGTGCAAGCACTGTGTTCTGGCTCAGGAAATCAGTAACTACAACTTCTGTCCCTTATGCCATAGTTCAGTGGGATGAAGAAATGACAGATTGTATCTAACTGTAACATACATGTAGCATGTATACATAGCTCTAAGTGGATATATAATAAAACTGACTTTCATACATTTTATATAAAAATCAGCACCATTATTTCATAGTTGTATATTTACACAGTTACAAATTATGTGTATAACATCTATATTATATATACATATATGTATTATGTATACATACAATTTTGTGTAAAAATACAACTATGAAATAATCATGCTGATTTTCATATAAAATGTATGGAAATCAGCCTTATTTCCTACCTGCCTATATCTATCTGTCTATAAATTATGGTTACATAATACTATGAAAAAATTCCAAATAAGAAATTTTTCTCACAGTTTCAAGGTTACTAATTCATTAAGAAACCTTGGCAGGGGGCAGGTGGGGGAAGCATGGGAGTGGGGCAAAGTTGAATTTAGAGAGTTGACATAACCTGTATTAGAAGAATGTTAAACAATTGTGATACTAAAATTAGCTCTATTGCTAGCTGTATTTAATTAAATAAGTATTGAATGTCTTCTGTATTTTATTTTCAGAAATGAGAAGACACTTAAAGATATTTTTTATAATTTGAATTGTTTCTAATAGCCTTATTTTTTTATATAGTTTTTCCTTTTTTATCTACCCTTTTAGCCTCACCTGAAAGATGGCATTTGGCATTACTCTTTATATTGTGCAGAAAAATTGGCTGTATTTATAATGATATAAATTTATACAAAAACATCCATTTTATAGTTATAGTTTTATTTGAAACATTGTCTCCAAGCAGGGCCCTTCATTTAAACAGCTCTGGGGCTGTGGGCAATGATCCTTTCTTAATAATGTGTCTGTTTTATCATTAATTTAAAAAGAAAAACTTGCAAGCATTACAATGGGTAATTGCTTACCTGTTTTATATAGCTAGAAGTGTTCTCCACTTCTTTCTCATGAATTTATGTCCTTTCATTTTGTGGCTGCAGGCCAGACTCTAGCACTGTTTCATCACAGTTATTTGCTCAAGTTTGGCTGATGTTTAGTAGAGGCAATAAATAAAGAGAAATATGCCACGCTACTATTGCAGCTATAATACTTAGGTTAGTTACCACAATGTCTGAAAACAACCATTATACCTTGTAGACCTAGTTATCACATATGTCTACATGTGTATACATACATATATACATACATGTGTAAACACATACATATATATAGAGAGAGAGACATATCTTTTCTACTATTGTAAAATCTTATGCCTGTTTGGGATTTATATCTCGGAAAGTTTTAGTGATCTTCCATAATGTCTTAAGGACCTTTGTTTTGGATAAAAATAGTACTAGAGACTAAAGACCCACAGTATGAACTGACTTAATTTGGTTTATTCAGCATGAAGGAAATTTAAGAATAACAACACCAAAAAACTCTCCCCTGATGAAAGGAGCAAAGAGAAGCAAAATTGTCTATGTGTAACAAGTACTTGGAGAGAAGTTGGACAGAATGAAGCATATAATGAAAACAGTATAATGAAGCAGTTATGTTGTTTCTCTTCCTGTAATAAGCATGTACTGACTCCATTTAATTAATGCTGAGTTGTTCTTTATCATAAAACTTGGCCTGAATTATGTGAGGTTTCAAAGTATAATTGTATTACATTTCAAAGTTTGAAAATACTTTGGTGGGCCAAAGTATTGAGATGATGGGACCAACTGATAAAATTTATGGTGATAAGCAATGTGCTTAACAAGCAACAAAGATTGTTGACCTGCTATCATGCCACAAATGCTAATTTTATTACACATGTTTTTTTGTTTTCGTTTTTTTTGCTAAATACACTTTGAAATGATCTTTTTGTATTCCAAGAGCTGAGATTTTAGGTTTTACATGGCATTAAAAAAAAAAAAGGAAAGACTAAATATTGACTTGTATTTATTCCTAGTTTCCTCTATGTATAACTTAAGGGTAACGTGGTATTTGTTTTGATTTAAATTTTTCAGTGGGGGTTGTTTAGGAGGGTGTTGGGCTCCAGAGTGGATAAGAGGAGAAAGGGACAGGAGGTACAATAGATGTAGAATATCATTTTTACTACCAAACAGAAAAAACAACTTTGACAGGTACTAGGCAAATGTCCGATGATTGGAGGTTGCAGTGAATTACTCTAGAGGTCATATAGAGTTCTCATTTAGAAATGGGGGAAATTTTTACCAGATTTTTAAGAGAAAATCAGAAGTACTTATTTGATAATTTTATAGCTCTAAGATATTGCTACTGAGTTTCTAAAATGAAAATGACAATATTATGTTGCCCCCTACTGTCTATTCTTAGGATTAATTCATTTTTAAAAATAAATTAATGCTTTTTTTAAAAAAATAAACATACTTTTAGAAAAGTAACATATATCCCTGGTAGAAAACTACAAAAATACATAAAGGGTATTTATGAGAGATGGGAAATGAAAATGGTCTTAATAACCTCTTTAAAATTAGAGGCATTAATTTATATTTTAGTTGAATTTAGAAGAAAAAATGGGGAAACTGAAGAAATCACTATATTGTAAGTTTTCTTCATAATAAGAACTACTTGTTCTTAAGAAATTTCTCTAAAATTAAGAGAAAAAGTAGCCATTAAGAGGCTTGGAGTTAATATTTTATGTAACTACTAATTATTTGGCATAGCTTGTATTTCTAGTGAGTAAAATTTAGAGAAAAATGAGATACCTCTCACAGATACCATAATAGCCAAAATTAAAGCTGCCAAGTATTGGTCAGGATATGGAACAACCGAAACCCCTATATATTGCTGGTGCAAATGCAAAATAGTACACTCATTTGGGAAGAGTTGAGTTTCCAAAGTTCTCTATATATTTTGGGGGGGAAATATGTATGTGTATGTGTGTATGCATGTATACATATGTATTTGTGTGTATGTATATATATTTTTAACTGGTCCAGTCAATGAAAGTGAAGCTTTACTGAGGCCCCAGGATCATAGGGTCAGGCAAGAGGCTGCCCTGTAGGGGAAGGAGGAGCCCATTGAGGGACTTTATTTGACTTTTCTTCTCAGGGCTTGGGTTGTTGGTGTGGCCATACTTTTTTCAACAGTTGACAGTATGAAGTTTCAGGGGAACATAACACATTCAGCAGATTATCGTGTTGCAGTTGTACTTCTGGGTGAGGAGGCTGGTTGATGCCACCCCACAAGCAAAGCACCACATGCAGGTGGACTCTGTGGAAGACGGACTTGAGTGTCAGAGAGGGACAGCAACTGAGCCTAGCGCCAGCAATGAAATTACAGGGCAGGCCCTCCAGTGTCATGTAGACCAGAGCTTCTCAAGTGTGACAGAGACACCAACTCAGAATCTTGTGTGTCCTATCAGTAGATGGACACATCAGCCCAGCATCTCTCACAGAACATGATTTGCAGATATTTTCTCCCATTCTCTGGGGTTTTTTTTACTCTATATAGTCTTTTAATGCACAAAAGTTTTAAATTTTCATGAAGTCCAATTTATGTTTTGTCTTTGGGGTCACATCCAAGAAGTTGCCAAATCCAGTGTCACAAAGCTTTTGCTTTATATTTTCTTCTAAACATTTTATATTTTAGCTCTTACGTTTAGGTTTTTAATCCATTTGGAGTTAATTTTTTTATATGGCGTTTCAGTCCAACTTCATTCTTTTGCATGTGGATATCCAGTTTTTTCAGCAACATTTATTGAAAAGGCTGTCTTTATGCTAATACCACAGTGTTTTGATTACTATAACTTTGTAGCTGAGTTTTGAAAACAGGATGTGAGTACTCTGACTTTGTTATTTTCAAGATTGTTTTTGGCTATTTGGGATCCCTTGAAATCCCGTTATTAATCTTAGGATGGATTTTTTCTATTTCTACAAAAGTATCATCGGCATTTTGAAATGGATTCCATTGTATCTGTAGGTCCTTTTAACTTGAACATGGGATGTCCTTCCATTTATTTATGTGAAATTTCTTTCAGCAGTGTTTTATAGTTTACATTGGACAAGTCTTTCACTTCTTGGTTAATTCCTAAATATTTTATCCATTTTTGATGCCATTATAAATGGAACTGTTTTCTTAGTCTCCTCTCTGGAGTGTTCACTTTACATAATTCTTACTTGAACTAAACATTTACTGTACTTAATCAATTACAATCTGGGTTTCCCTTTGGCATCAACAGCCAGAGAATGTAAACTAACATAACAGACCAAATTTTTAGCACAAATTACTTAATGAATTCTTACACTATTCCACAGATATAAGAAGTTTGCAATCTAGGATCTTGGAGCTAATAAATGGTAGTTTGAATTCGGACACCTTCTCGACAGTGTGTCCGAATGGCCGCAGCCTATTCAGATCATCCTCTACCGGGTGTTTGGCTGAGAGTGGTCGCTGGAACCCCAAAGGCGTGCTACAATAAATCTGCTGGCCAATTAGCCATTCGTAAAGCAAACCAAGGTTTCTTCTGCTTCCGGCACAGTGAGGCTCTCTCCCCCCATAACTCGCTGTAACAAAGGACAAGCTCCTCGCAACATAAGTCTACGGATTTGGAAACCAGTTTGGAACCATCTGTCTACTGCTTTCTAGAAAAAGAGGCAGGCAGGACCAGCAGTAACACCAGAACCGCACTTCACCGCAGTCGGTCCGAACTTTACCGGTACGACTGAGCTCCCCGCTAGCACCGAGTCATCGATCTCGCGAGATGATGGGTCCTCGAAAGGCACAAACTTCCCCCTTTGCGAGCGCCGAGGTTTTGCTGTCAAATTCCGGGAGTGCGGAAGTGGCCCCGTGGTGCTGCCTCTAACCGTTCAGAAGTCAACTCCTTTTCTACACGAAAAGCTAGGCCTCAGACCGCTATGGATGGGCAGCAAGGGCAACCAAGCCAAGCATCGCTGGCACTCGCCCAAGCTCACTTCAACAAGGGCGAATACGCGGAAGCCGAGACGCTGTACTCCGCTTACATTCGCCAGTGCGCCTGTGCAGGCTCCGAGGGAGCTGCGCCCGGGAGGTAACTATCGCGAGAGGTGGGGTAGCTGCACCTCTGGGAGGTGCGAAGCAGGGGTCGTCAAAAGCCCGGCGCTCAGCCGCCTGACTTTGGGGTACCGAGGATGCTGGGGGCGGATGCTTGCCTTTTCAGAAGGGCAGCAAGGGTCGCGTTCTTCTGGGACACCCGGGGCACCCGCTGCCTTCTCCCCCCGCCCCTGGGAGTTCTGTGTTACTCACTCTGACCCAGAGCGGCAGCTACGCTTTTCCGCCTGTCATTTTAACAGGCGGATATTGGAGACCTTGTGATGGCGATTGGACACGACTGGGTAGTGCCACGCGAGTACGTGGGACTGCGACTCCAACCGCCACATCCCAGCTAGGGTGTTTCCTTTTTCACTTGTGTGTGTGTGTTGCGGGGGGGGGGGGTTGGAGATCACTCGGCGTAAATATTATTTCACCCACACATCATTCATCCATCGATATTTCAAAATGCATTTCTAAATATTAAGAGTTCTTAAACAACCATAATATCATTATTGTCACAAAATTCCTTAATGTGAAATACACAATTAGTGTTGTGTCCTGATTAATAACGTCTGTTGTTGTTTGTTTGTTTGATTTCTTGGTTGGTTTGTTTTTTATAGCATTTGGTTCAAGTCAGGATGCACCAGGTCTCTTAATCTATAAGGCCCCTCTTCTTTTTTTCCCTCGAAGTCTGTCGAGGAAGCCATCGTGTGTTTTGAGTGTTTACTGAATTCATCTTCCTGATGTCTCCTGCACTGTTTGTGAGTTGGCATTTAAATCCCGAGGCTCGATCCAATTCAGATCCGGTATTATGGCAAGACTATGTCACAGGTGGTGGTGTGGACTTCCGTCAGAAAGCATATAATGTTTTTCTTTTTGTGATGTTACCATCCTCACCTGCTAATACCTGCTTGCCCCAAGTACTTTGGGTTTATACCTGGATGTGTAGCATTTGTTGTTATTCCAAATTTTGTCTGTGTTCTTATTGATGGAGTGGGGTGGACGAGGATGAGAAAAGAAAGAACAGAGATGGGTGGAATGAACAGCTTTTTGCCAGTTTTGTGTCTTCTGCACCATCACTTCAGGGATTTGGTTTTTCTTGACAGGATGCCAGTTTGTTTTTTGAATGAGCCTTATGATTCTTCTCCAGGTTGTTAAACTCATATGGAATGAAACCAGAAAAAATGAATTTGCTTTCTTGTTTTGATAACACACCAAGGTAATAGTTAATAGAAATTTCTGAACAGGCAGGAAGACAGTAGCACCATTCCCTGAGCTCCCCCGACCCCGCCAGCCAAGGGAAAAAAAAAAAAGATTAGTAAACATAGAAAATGTAGTTTTCTATCATTGTTTCAAGCTCAAAGAATAGACTTACCTAGTAGGTTTCAAAAAGTATTCATCAGCAACAGAAATATTGGGCCATCTAGTCTCCTTTGCACATCCAACCTGAAAAGCACTGACTATGTTGGTAGCAAATGTAGTATCTGCGTCTTAACGAAGGCAGGACAGAACATCTGCCAACATTTGGTAGAAGGTGGTCAGCGTGCCTGAATGAACCTTCTTTCCTTACAGTTCTGAAAATCTTCTAGGATCTCATGAATTTACAATGAATTCTGTCATTTCAGATTTTTTTTCCATCAAATATATCTTTTAGCTTCAATTTATTTTTTAAAATAATAGGTCACTGAACCATTTTGAAAAAGTATTTGCAATTTTTGCATTCCTGTCACTCTGAATGGTTTACAACATTTTGTTTTCATATCCCAAAGTGCAGTGTTAGCCATAAACCTAACTTCCAAATGTATTTTTATTATTATTTTTGTTAAAGTGTGCAAATGCAAAAAATCCACATTTGTGTTAGGTAATTAAATTCTAGTATGATAAATACTATCATTACTAAAATCTCAATATTGTGAAAATAAATTTCGGCTTTAACAGCCCGTGTGTTTAAAATATGAAGCAATTTCCACATGAAAAGTACATTTTTAGAATTTGTTGTAATGAGATCTAATTCTGAACCAAACATTTTACGGACCTCTGAATATAAGAAATTTGTAACAAAGTTTTAAAGCTTAAAAATGGAATGACTAAAACCTTCCTGGAGTCCTGAGGCTGCATTTTTAAAAAGAAACCCTTTACTGGACGGCAGTTCACTGAGTATCGTAACAGAGATAGTTGTAGGGAGCGTGCCCTCCTGTTCCCCAGGTTTCAGCGATGGTGCTGGTGGCATCCAGAGTATTCTCGCACTCAGTCTCTGTCATAGTTCACGGAAACAGAAGTTTTCTCATGTTGCAGTGTTTCTGTCCATAGTTAGTGAACTTAGACTTTGAAGGAGACCCCCGTGAGGACCTCTGGTGGAAGCCGTGGTTGCAGTGCCTGTCAGATCTCAAGGATCTCGATATTAAGAGAATGTCACTTTTAATATCACTGACTGCAGTCACAGTGTTTTCTGAGGACTGTACTTTGCACCGTGGGGCATCACAAAGAAATGAGAGCTGAGTGTAGCCTGTGCCTTTTCTATTTGGCTCAAATTTGAGAATTCCCTTGGAAAAAAAGAAAGGAAAACAGAATTGTCTCGGACACGGAGCAGCGTCCATTAATGTTCTCTGTGCAAGTGACTCCTCTGGCAGGGGAGGGGTGACCCGCTGAGTTGGTGGCTGGTCTGGCTGCCTCGGCTAAGCCCTTAAAGAAAGTCTGCTCACATAGAGCCCCTTAGGCAGCCTCTGGAGGCTTCAGAAGCAGAGCCGATTCTGCACACAGGACCCCCAGAGCCCTGGGGGCTGATGCCCTCCTAGCAGAAGGCCCGTGTGGCCTTGGGGGCGATCCCACCTAAGATGGGAGGGAAGGCAGCTTTGTCCTGAGAAGCCCTCCCTGGGGGACAGCATACTGAATTTCCAGTCAGGGTCAACGTGTATTTCTTTATTGGTGAAAAATGATTAGAAATCTCATTTTTGGGGGGATCACTTAAAAATTTGAGAGTAACACTGATGATTCAATCTGCCGTATGTCTGTTGCAGACTGGAACTTTAGGCTGGCTTTTCCTCCTTGCTCAGCATGTCGTCTTTGCCCTGCTGGTATGTGCTGAGAAAATGAACAACGATTTTAATATTACATTCTGCAAAACAAGTAGTCAGTGAACAGGGTCTCTGAACATACTATGAAATTAATGTGTTTTTTCAGACTGACCAGGTAGCGCTACCTCCCTACAACGTAGATAACGGGATTAAACAAAAACTGATTCCACTGCTTTATTTCTTCGCATTTCCTTTCTTCAGCGTGGTGTTCCAGTTTAGATACTGCATGTTATAGGCGATGAAGTTTGACAATACCCAAAAGAGAGTGAAAGTGGAAGCGGGAGGCATTTGGTAACACACGTTTTTAATGCGAACTTTTTGTTTAAAGCAAATGCAGCCCAGAGGACTTGGCTACTGCGTATAACAACAGGGGGCAAATCAAGTACTTGAGGGTTGATTTTTATGAAGCCATGGATGACTACACATCTGCCATACGAGTCCAGCCCACGTTCGAAGTTCCGTATTACAACAGAGGGTTGATATTGTATAGGCTGGGTAAGAATTTTTTCCCCCTTTTGTCTTTGACTATAGTCTGTGAATTCAGAGCTCTCAGATGCTGTGAAACTAATGTAGTAAACACCAAGTCTCCAATTTATGTTAAAATTGAGGCTTAGAGCCTGGAACAAAGAAAGCTTTTATTCTGGGCTTTTGGTGAGCTTTACAGACCGCAGTGGAGCCCTGGGGTGGGGATTCGACCTAGGCCGGGTGAGGGTGAGCCTGTCACTGGGCGCCTGTGCCTTCCCAACTGCTACTTGAGGGCAGTGCTGACGGCCACCTGGGAAACTTGTCTGAGTTAAAATCAATTTTTTTTAATGTTTATTTATTTTTGAGAGAGAGAGAGAGAGAGAGTGCAAGTGACGCAGGGGCAGAGAGGAGGGGACAGAGGATCCAAAGCAGGCTGTGCGCCACGGACAGCAGAGCCCGGTGGGGTGCTCGAACTGGTGAACTGCGAGATCATGACCTGAGGTGACACTCAATCGACTGAGCCTCTGAGTTAAAGTCTTTAAAGGCACCTGAGACAATATAAAGTGAAAGGGTTTTAGATCCTTGCATTAATGGGACTGTAGGTACTGTTTCTCTTTTAAAGTGTTAAAAAGAATACGAATTTCCTGTTTTTAATTTTACTGTCATTGTGTAAAATCGGTGTTAGGATGTTGTTGAGATTTTATGATGATTTATGCTATAAATAAATAAAGCCAGAGCTAATTTTAAGTGTTAATTTAAATTGAATTTAAAATTTTAATTTTAATGATGGCGTAAGGGCATGCAAAATTACTTTGATATACACATGTATATGTCATTACTAAGAGAAAAACAATCCTTTACTAGGAGTGGTTGAAAGCTTGTAAATATAAAAGCCAAAGTGTGTGTTCTCTGAACTCTGCTATGAATAATGTATAGAAATACTCAGTTTTATTACTCTTTTTCATTTTTTGCGTTCTGGTACAGGATACTTTGATGATGCTTTGGAAGATTTCAAGAAGGTATTAGACTTAAATCCTGGATTCCAAGATGCTACCTTGAGCTTAAAACAGACTATTCTAGACAAAGAAGAAAAACAAAGAAGAATTAATGAAAAAAATTATTGAAAGTTTTAGCATAATTGAAATATTAACTCATGATCCTTATACCTGGCATCTCGTTGCTTGTAATGTCAAGTTAGGTGTTGAGCTATTTCAATTTATATTTAAGGTAGAGATTCATTATTAGCACCGAAAGTTAAGTGATGTATTTAAAGTAGTTAATTTCAGATTAACTATGTTGGATAAGTTGCTTTTTATAAAGTGTAAATAAATAATACCAAGGTATAGTGTGTTATTACAGTAAAATATTTAAAGAAGAGTGTGGCATTTTCTTCAGTAAAACTATATTTTTTGTTGTTTTCTATTCTCAACTTTGTATTTAAAAAATTTGGCATCTACAGAAAAGTTGAAGTACAATACAACGAACATCTATAAACTCTTCACTTGGATTCGCTAGTTGTTACCATTGGACCACATTTGCTTTCTCTCTGTATTTAAATATATAAATTTTGCTGAACCATTTGAAAAGAAGTTGCAGATATCCCAATACTTTACCCCTATATGTTTCAGTCTGCAGCTTCTAAGAATCGAGACATCCTCCACTGCAGCTGCAATACCATTATAGTACCTCATAAAATTAATAATTCTATAATATCGTCCATACCCAGCCCATGTTCGAATTTCCCTGATTGCTTCCGCCGTGTCTCACGTAGCTTTTTATTTCTGGACCTGGAATGAATCAAGTTACGTTGCCTCTTGTTGTTGTACCTCTTTGAGTTCTTCTAATCTAGAATAGTTCCCTGCCATTTTCTCCCCGTGGCATTCACCTGGCGAGCAAAGCTTTTTTATACAGCTAAGCTAAAGAGATGCCACATTGGGACTTAAAACCAAACATGTTCTACATGCGAACAATTTGAAACCAGTCTAGATTTTCTCCAGAAATCATTGATAAGATAGGTTGATATTTAAATACGTAAGTCTTCTGTCTCTGGATAATGACAGGAGTTATCGTCATCAACATTTATTGACTACTCACTACAAGCCAAGTACTCTTCAGACTCTGTGTAATGAATTAGGAATTGGAAGGGAGTGGATAGAGAGGTGAGGAACTGAGAAAAGCACTTCATAAACATAAGGCTTAAAAAAATCTGATTTATTTGGGTGCTGTCAATAAACAGGCTGATAAAGCTGTCTAGAATGGGCAAGAAAGGGGAGACAAGACAATGCCGTGTCTCCTCTACGTTTTTTGTTTGTTTTTATTGTTGAGGTTTGACTTTCAAAGATACATATCCTCCATCTTGGGATCGCCCACACTGTTTCACTGTTGCCGTGGGAAAAACCGTTTTGGGGTGGCAGTGACCCTTGGGAGGAGAAAGGCCAGGGCATTTGCCCGGTGGCTTTCGAGGAAGATGTGCTGTTAGTTCTCCGGCCGGCCCAGAGGCAAGCACCGGATCAGCCTTAAAGGGTTGTTTCGAGTTCAAGAGGTCTCGTGAAGCAGAAGAAGTCATTGCCCAGCTTGTAGTTCATAAACAATAGCTGACAAAATACATGGAGAATTTGGGCTGCAGGTGAAGGCGTATTTTTGAAAAGAAGTTTGAAAGGAAACTGAAAGTATCCATATCTCTGGAATTCTTCACATTTTCCAGCGTGGCTTCTCTTTCCATTTGTTGGAAATGTCTTTAAAACAATTTGTAAAGTTGCATTAAAATGTGAAAAAAAAAATCTCTCTTAAAACTTTTATTTAAAAAGCAAAGTCCGTAGGCCTTGGGAGAACTTCAAGCCCTTCTATCCAGAATGTCAAATATTTATATAACGCTCCAGTAACTTTGTTTTCTCTTGGCTTCTATTCTCTTTTCCCTACTGTTGACTGGGGTCAGAAGTAATACGAAAAACAAAAACCAATCCCCCCCCACCCCGCCCAACTCCGTAAAAGAATTTATTTGGTTTTTTAGATTCAACATTTCTTCATCCTTTATCGGAAGAAAAGAAAATCACTGAAGGTCTGAATCAGCACTTGCTAATTAGAACCCAGGCACGGCTTTTTCTCTTGTTACTGGAAATAACTGAAGAATAATGTATTTTTATCACTTCAAAACTTCAGGCATTATGCATCCAGATTGTAAATTTCTGATTGACTAAATAATACCTTTGCTATGTGCCTTAAAGATATTCTTTTTTTGTATGCTATTACTCCGATTTCTCATATTTTAGTATTTCTACTAGAAAAGTACCCAAACGATGTCATTTTCCAGTTTTTCTCTCTGCAAAAACAAGGCAGAAAATTGTGATTTGTTACAAAGTACGGTAAGATAGAATAAATGGACGTAAGTTACTTTTGAGCTTAGAAAATAACTCTTCCACCAGTTGAAAGCGGGGAACTATTTATTTTTGCTGAAATCTAGAACTGAATGAAGCCTGAGGACTTAACTTTCCGACAACAAACTACAGTCTGCTAGTGGAACAGCAAACTAAATTTCCAGGTCAGCTTTTAATCATTATCTCTTTGCCCTCTCCTGGCTCTTCTCTGGTGTTTCCTTCTTTCACTGGCCTCTCTACCCTTCCCCCACTCAACATAAATCTTGGCCCCCTGTCACCGTCCAGGTCTTAAGTCTCTTCTCAGTGGGTGTGATAGATGTCAACCTGCCTTCAGGGCAAATCAATTTGGCATTTACACTGATCTTCATCTCCGTACCAAGTCTAATCCCCCTTAAAATTTTAACTCAGTTTCAAGTAATTAATTAAGCCTCTTTCTTGCTTAACAGCGTTTATTTGTCCCTGAAAATGTTTCTAGTTGAAAAGCTATTATAAAAAAAAAAAAATCCATTCCATTAAGTTTAACTGGAAAAATGATGAATTCCATTTTAGCCCAAGATACCCAAATAGTTTTCACAGGTAGAAAAATATATTAATTGAGCGATGAAGACAAGTTTATATAAGTAATAGGAATTTGAAATCACATAATTACATTTACAACAATTACATCAAGTGTTACGTCATGAATGTTGACTTATACTCATTTTTTTCTTCCTGTACTATTAAAAGCTTTATTGAGACATAACTCACATAGCATACAATTCACCCCCTTAAAGTGTACAATTCAATGTTTTTTTTTTTTTTTTTTTTTTTTTTAATATATTCAGTTTCTGTCCCGCTTTTAAAAGCAAGTTTTCAGCATTTTTGGGTTTCATGGTCCTCTTGTAAACTGCACTTACTGAAGTTATAACAGAAAAACACTTTTGGGCAAATGAAGGGCTAAACAGTACCTAAGAGTTTACGCACAAAACAGATGGGGAGTCCTGAAGGATCGTCTCATCCCCTAAGTAGCACAATGCCAACTGAGTACACGGGAGGCTGTGGCTCTGCCCGAAGCTGACATCGGAATTTCACTTCTGCAGCACATTTACGTGTTTGAGTGAACAGGTTGTTATTTTTAAAAAGTGCTGACAAACACATGGTATAACGTTTCAAGACCCTAGTGAAAAGCCAACAGTCGCTACATGAGCTAAGTGTGTTATTATAACAGCTTCTAGATGAATTCATGTTTTGGTGTTTTCCATACTTCTCAAAAATGTGACAATAAATTATGGGAAAGGGATTCCAGTTAAAATGGCATTTGGTCAGAGACAGAGAGATTTGTTGAATTTCACATCTGATGTCAGAGGGCTTAAAAACACACACGCCATTACATTCTTTACAAAAAGGAAAGAAGATGAGAAATACAATTGTGTTTTTTTGAGTAGCAAAGCAATTGGTAAGATTTAAAAACACAGTTTGTATCTTTTAAAATCACAAGCAGATGAAAGGACACATCCAAAAGGCAAATGATAAAGATGTAGCAAAAGACAAATGATAAAAGAAACCCAAAAGGGAAGCCCACAAAGAAATTCTGACCTGAGAATACGCATAAACAGAGTGAACTCAGAGCACAGCAGTGTCCTCCCAGGTTTGTGTGTCTGTCAGCATATAATCTCACGTGCAACAACACAATGAAGGAGGTCTTGTTTTTCATAAAGGGTGAAGCTGGGGCTGAGAAATTCAGTAACTTGCTCAAAATGATGTTCCAAAATCCATGTAAACATTCGAAACTGCAGTTAGTTATCAACTGATTTTTGTTGCTAGCATCAACTCAAAGCAGACATGAGATTTTTTTTTTTTTTTTTTTTTTTGCCTGCTACAAAATTTAAATCGCTGGTAAATTGTTTTAGTGTCCATCAAGGTGAGTACCAAACCAATATTAAAATTGGTTTTTACAATGGAACATTACTGCAATTCTAAGAGTTCCTTGTTGGTAATTTTCCTTCTTGATTGAAAACAGACACAAGAGATGGTGAAAAGCAGATTAATATTATGAGCAAACTGCATTTGGAAAATGGAAAGCCACAGCTGCCAATATGTAAATTTGTATCTTATGTTAAGAAAAAGTATCCAACATCTATAAATAAGGCAAAAGGAAGATTGCATGTCCTTTCAATAGCACACTGAGCACAGCCCAGCAGACCCACCCAGGGACTATTTAATTCTCTGGGATTACATGTAATTTACAGATCTCTGTCCAGAGGAGAAGTAAATGATTTCTGTCTGGTAGAAACGATAACCCTAAAGATCATGGTTTTATCGCCCTGGCGGACATTAACCAGTTTTGATTCCAACCTAGTAACTTTATTCCCCAATTCTTTCTTCATTGACTGTAAACACTCAGTTCCTCAAATGCTCTTTTACTGTCTTGGTGTTTCTCTCATTCATGAGTTAAAAAGACATTTGTCACGTGTTCATTCTGTTTTCTTAGAAGAGTCATGCATAGTTATAAAAAAATTTTTTTTTAACGTTTATTTATTTTTGAGAGAGACAGAGCACGAAGAATAGAAGAAGACACAGAATCGGAAGCAGGCTCCAGGCTCTTGAGCTGTCAGCACAGAGCCCGACGCCGGGCTTGAACTCACAAATTGTGAGATCATGACCTGAGCCCAAGTTGGTCACTCAACCGACTGAGCCACCCGGGCACCCCAAGTTGTGTGTAGATTTAAACAATTTATATGTTTGCACTTCTATTGAAAAAACAAAACCAACTTTAATAGAGTTTGCCATTATATAGTCTCTTATTTCTCGCAGGACTATGAGAAAGGAGGGACTGGAAATTTCTACTGCCTGCTTATTTGAAATTTCAATAATTCTTGTTTGGATTATGTTGAGGTTTAATTGAGCTCCGAATGAAGTGGAGTATAGGGAAGGCCCTAACCTTAACTCACATACATGTAAGTACTCCCTTTTAAAAGTAGGCAAAAGCTACAGAGAATGTGTTGTAAAAAAAAGGAAAGCGCCCCCCCCATCCCCCATCCCAACCCCAGGTCCTTTCCTGCTCTCACCCTGCAGAAGGAGCCACTGTTACATTGTATCTATCCTTCCAAACCTTTCTGGTTGTACAAATAAACACACCGACACACGTATGCATATGCATGTACAGAATTACGGCTTACGTATCATTATAAGGTAATTTAAATTATTGATTGTCTTGGACATTCTTCTTTGTAAGAACAGAGATCTGCCTCATTCTGCTTGGACCCATGATTTTAAAAAATCACATTAAGAATGCTTGCCAATTTTTTGTTATAAAATTAATAATGCATATGGTAATAAAAATTAAAAGCGCACCGGAGGGATAAATGGAGAATAAGACCCTCTCCTCCGCATTCCCCTCCAGAGGTGACCGCCTTAACCAGAACAACGGGAAACAGTGTTGAACAGCTCACTTTCCTGTTCCTGCCGCTCACATCTTTAAAACATTTGTTTTAGTTCTTTTCACCACCTTTATGGATCTGTGCCCTCGAGGCGGTTTTGGCCAGTTTGTACCAAGAATACCTCTGAGTATATATCCTTTTGACACCACATCTGCCGGAACCTATTTCCACTTCTTCAGAGCGCTCTTTTTAAGGTTACAGTTGCCACGGCGCACCTGAGCTTGCGCGAGTCTGAGCTCCAGGGCCTCCCCACTCCGCTCCCCGCTGCTGCTGGAGCCAGACCCAAGCCCCAGACTCCTCCGCCCCTTATCCCCGCTCCAGACCCCTGCCCCAGACCTCCACCGACCCCAGAACGCCCCCACCCCCTCACCCCAGACTCCCCTGCTCCGGACCCCTGCCCCAGACCTCCACCGACCCCAGAACGCCCCCACCCCCCCACCCCCTCACCCTCTCCCCTCACCCCCTCACCCCCTCCCCTCACCCCCTCACCCCCTCACCCCACCT